GGCGGAGGGGCCGGCGCCTGCCGGCCGCCCCCGTCCCCGTTCACGCGCCGCGGCGCCTTCTTCTCCTCCATCCGGACCTTCTTGGCGGACAGCGACGCCGGCGGGTCCCGGGAGGACGACTGCAGCTTGCCGAAGGGCTCCTTCTCCGAGACGGCCGGGGCGGCGACGGCGCCGCGCACTGGGCTCGGCGGCGCCGCCATTTTGCGCTCCTGTTGTATTTACTCCGCTCGGCTCCCGGCGCGGGGCGGGGGCGGGGCGGCCGGGGGGGACACCGGCCCGGCCCTCCATTGGGTGAGCCGCGTGGAGGGACACATCCAGAAGCCAATCAGGGGCGCGATGTGAAGTTGGAGGGGCGGGTCTGCCGAGCTGACCCGCGCCGAAGGTCAGCGCTCGGCGGGGCGCGACGGCCGCGGGACGCCGGCCCGCGATGGTCTTTGCTGTCGCTGGCGGCGCTCGGGGGCCTGCGCGAGCTCGGGAAGAGCCCGGAACCCCAGCCCGCCCCGACTGGGTAGCTGAAGCCACTGCCTTTGCTGCGATCGCTCAGTACTGCAAGGTCGGGAAGCAGGGCCGGTCGGAACTTGGGGTGCTTCCCCCACGCCCCCGCCGCGCTCCAAGGTGGGTGCGAGGGTGACGCCGCGCCGCCCCGAGGCTCCGGGAAGCGGCGTCGGCGACGTCTGCAGGCGTCTGTAAAGTTTCTGTGTGCTTTCACGGAGGAGTTTATTTTGACTCACCAGGTTTCCCTTTGCGTCTCCGACGTGCGGTGCGCTCTGTGAGCGCGCTGGGCTGCCGGGGACGAGGGTCCCGGAGACGCCGCGGGACGGCCGCAGCCCGGTGGGAGCCTGGCTGTAATTTCCCTCGCCGACCGCCCGCGCGATCAGAAGCCCGGGGAAGGGAGAGAGGGAGGGAGGAGAAAACGAAAGTGGTCAGTTCAGAGAGGGAGGCTCGCCAGAGGAGCTCTAAGCTGCCTGTTACTTTCTGGAAAGAGTTGAAAGTAACCTTTCGGGAGTATCCATGCCTGTGACCTCAGGAAGTGGGAAATGTTTGCTTTGTTTCACTCTTTCTTTTCTTTTAGGCTGTTTTGGGAGTGGAGTCAAAATTCCCCGGGCGTGGAGGCGAAAGGGTCACTGTGAGTTCGAGGCCAGTCTGCTCTACATAGTGAGACCCTGTCTCAAAAAAAAAAAAAAAAACAAAACAAATTTTTGACATTGGCTTATATGTATAGTACTTATTTTTAAATGGCTCAGGTTTTATTGATTGATTGACTGACTGATGTTTTTGAGACAGGGTCTCACTATGTAGTTCAGGCGGGCCTTGAACTCAAGGCAGTCCTGCCTCAGCCTCCCACACCCGACCGCCCCTGTCATTTTACTTGGGGTTTGGAAGGAGCCCTTTTCTTCTCGACACTATCAAGTAGCAGAGGCCTGAGGTGTCAACTCCAGGGCGGTTTCTTTTCCCTCACATTCTGTTTCTGCCCAGTCTTCAGAAGCACCTTGGCTTCACCAGTCTCAGTGTGCATGATTCTGGGCTTGTACCCCTCAGCCTGACTGAAGTAGGGTGGAAGAAATAAAAGATGGGATAAAGAAGGGACCAGACATCCTAACCGCAGGGCGTGCAGGGCCAGCCCGGCCCTGTCCTCAGTCACATTGCAGCCCCTTCCCTCCCGGCCCTGCGCACCCCGCACCCCGCACTGGGAGACCGGGCCGTGTAAGTGTTAAGCTGCTGCTCAGAAGGGGCCTCTGGCTGTGCTGGAAAAGCTCCTACTCACTCGGAAGTCAAGATGACACCACAGCGGAGGCAGCCGAGGACAAGAGCGGCTGACACTCCCTATTCCAGAGCAATAAAGCTGCCAACCTTAGAGGTCAGGCAGTTCTCTTAGTTGGCAAATCTAGTGCTTGGAGAAGTCTTTGAGCTAACTTCCCAAGGTCCTGCTCAGATCCCAGCCTGCCCTTATTTGAAACCAGATAACTACGGGCTGTCCTGGGAAGTTCTTGTCTCTAATTCCAGTGAGATTTTACTCCCAGAGAGTTTCGGGCTCCCTGGATCCCCCAAAGCCATATCACCTGTCTCTTTATGGAAGCCGTTCCCGGAACACTCTTTCAGGTAGGGGCCTGATCAGCCCCCGACACCGCGTGCCTCGGGAGCACTCAGAAGGTGAACCGCAGGTGCCAGCCCCTAAGGTGCAGGAGCAGATCGAGGCCACCCAGACAGCGTTTCCGCGACCGTCCCCAGCGCCCACACTGCGCGGGGGCTGGTGCGGCGCTCCCAACCTGCGGGAGGTGGAGACACTGGCTTCCAGACCCCCAGACGCCGGGCTCCGAGCCGCACATCGCCCCAGTGACCCGAGTCCCCAACAGACCCTTCCCTCGCCCTCCTGAGGGTCCTGAGGCTCCCTCCGGGCGGAGTCAGAGAACTGCTGCACGGCTGGCTCACCCTCCTCCTTGCGGCTTCTCTGGGGGTCCCCCAGACCCAGCCGGGGGCACCACCGCCCGGGTTCTCCCCCGGGTCCCCCAGTCAGTCGCAAGGCCCCGCTGAGGGTCGTCTCCCTCTTCTGACCCCCAAGTCCCGTCCCTCGGCTCCTGCAGGGAGCCTCGAGGGAGGGCAGAGTGGGCGCCCTCTCCCCGCCAGGCGGGCACGGTGGGCACGCGAGGGGGCTTGGGGGGCGAGCCCATTGCCCTTCCACTCCCGAGGCTTGGGAAGGGCGCTCGTCATCAACACTGTCTGTGACCTCCGGGTCGTGTTCTTATCACACATTCATGTAATTCAGGTAGACTGAGTTCTCACCTCTTAAGTAACATCTCACACAGGACAGCCTAACCACTTGCTCAACCGCACACCTCTGCCCAGCTGGGAGGCGGACCTGAGTTTACAGAAGGCAAGAAAGCAGACGCAAAGCAAGCCTCAGCCTCCCAAGTGCTGGGATTACAGGTGTGTGCCACCACCCGCGGCTACACTGTAATTCTTAGGATTTTAGTCCTAACCTTTCCCCTGTTTAGTCCCTGTATTTGATCTCAATGAATGGAAACCACTAAATCTCAGTCTAATGTAACTGGAAATTTTTTTCTTTCTTCTTTTTTTTTTTTAACAGTGCAAAGATTCCATGCTCAAAACCATGGCTTTATTTATTTATTTATTTATTTATTTGTCTTTTTGAGACAGGTCTCACTATGCAGTTCAGACTGGCCTTGAGCTCACTCTGTAAGCCCAGGCTGGTCTTGAACTTGCAATAATGCTCCTGCCTCAGCCTCCTACATGCTGGGATTACAGGCGTGCACCGCCACGCCTGGCGATCCCATGGCTTTATTTTTATTTTTATTAATGCATGTTTGCAGGCCATCATGATCACATTTGTCATGAGGAGCTGGTGCATGGATGTAACTTCTTCAGGCCCTGTCCCTCCATCTCCTGGTCTCCCTAGCGGGGAATTTTCTGTTAGTGAAGAGACAGAGAAAGGGAAGGAAACGCAGCACTGAGATATCCTGAACACCAAGGGCCGAGCGCTGAGATTGACGTTCTCCCAGTCCAACCTGGACAGCACAGAGGATCGGTGCAGTGCCCAGGAGAGAGGGAAGCTTTCCTTCTGGAAAGTTCTCGGGACCTCGGTGGGGGGGTCTCCCCGGAAGGCCCAGGTTCAGCCTCACGTAGAGCTGGCAGCCGGGCTGCCCCGGCCCGGCTTGTGGGGCACACTCGGGCACTCCCTGTGCACTGCTGGGCGCGGGGCCGGCGGCTCTCCTCAGTCCCTGCAGGAGCGGCAGCCTGGAGCTCTGTCGAGAACTCGGGGCTCGGGTCCTAAGCGGGATCAGAAGTCAAATGCCACCTCTGCAGCTCCCGAGACTGACGCTGAGGGACAAGGGCAAACACGGGTGGAAACTGGTTACCTGTGCAGCAGTGAAGATTGTTATTGCTTTGATTTCTCTCAGCAGACTAATTTAATGTCTGACAAGTTATAACTGGAAGCACAAGTCATATTTACATCAATTTATGTTGCCTCACCATAGGCTGTTCATTTTGTACTGACATGTTTACTAGTTTCGTTTTTGCTAACCAATAATGTTACTATTTTGTAGCTTTTATAAAATTCCATGGTATATTGCGCCTTATCTTGCATTATGTCTCTTTCTATTTCTTTCTTTCTTTTTTTTTGAGACAGGGTCTCTCTCTTTAGACCAGGCTGGCCTTGAACTTTCTATGTAGCTCAGGCTGCTCTCCAACTCGCAGCCATCTTCCTGCCTCAGCCTCCTGAGTGCTGGGATTACAGGCAAGCGCCAACATGCCTGGCTCTTCCTATTTCTATCTGTCTCTTTATCAGTTCATCTTCAGAGCTAATAGCGTGGTTTTTCTTACCACATATATTGTGTTCAGTCAGCACACCCTTGTTAGGAACCGGACCTTCAGCTAGGTCTAGAAACACAGCAAGATGCAGGCAGCTGTCCCTGTCCTCCCCGAGTGCCCTTTCCCACGTCCTCTGGCCCTAAGCCGTCTTCTCACCAGGGCTCTGCGGCTCCAGACTGTAGTCTCCTTCCTTACTGATTTATCCCCACGACGGTCAGCGCCGAGCATCTAGACCACAGTGGCCCTGCCTGACGGTGCCGTTGACCCGGGTAACCGAGAAGGTGGGGTCATCACGCATTGCGTTAGGCCAGCGGGGAGGCGGCTTTGAAACCGGCGCAGGGAGAGGCGGATTGGCACCGGGGCTGAGAGGAGAGGAAAAACTTTAGGCCAGGCCAGGCCCCCACGGTCCAAGGCCAGCTCGTGCGCAAGGTGTGCCCGGCTGCGTCGGTGCCGGCAGGGAGCCTGAGCAGGGCCAAAGCCCGCGATGGCTGCAGCTGCCCGTCCCTGAACTGTTTAGTCCAGTGGTCCACACGCCTGGCCCAACTTAAATCCTGCGTGGGAAGCCAGTGTGAAGTAGCGCTATCAGGCCGTTTACCCCATCACAGAAGACTGGCCGTTTGTAAAAATAAATCCCTGAGGATTTTAAAAACATTTAGCACAGTGGGGATTGAACCCAGAGCCTTGTGGATGCTAGAAAAGCCTGGCGCTAAGTCTCTGTTCCTTAATCTAAAAGTTCTAAAAGAGGAAAAAAGGTGTATATTTTGTAAATATTAATTCCATGTTCATTGTAATTTGATAGTAGAACAATATATATACAAGGGGTAATAAAGATGTAATTTGCTAGAACAATATATATACAAGGAGTAATAAAGATGCAGTATATATATGTAAGGGGTAGTAAAATGCTA